ATCAAACAATTACACTCAACTTTTCATTTTCAATTATCACATTAAATATCACGGAGGGGGAGGGGACTCGAGCCAACAGACGGGACATTTACATATTGGAAACCGAAGGGCAGCTGGACAAGGCGAAGGGGAATGAGCCTCCAATTTCGCCTCTTGGTTTCTCGCCCCTTTTTTCCTTTTGCAACAAAACAACACGCTGGAATGGGTAAGCCAAGCCTCCCTGGATTCCTGAAACGCATGATTCCAGTCCGCACCACCCCTCCCCTTCCCACTTCCCTTCCCGCTCTCCCCATCCGCCCTCCGTCCCCCTATTACATGTACGCTGCATCTGCCCGTACATTGTCGAGCTGTAATTTTTTCGTTTTTGTCGTAAGAATTACTGATCCTACTTAAAAATGCGGCCGGTCAATCCTTCCTATCTCACAAACTTCAGCGATGCATAATTTCCTTTTTCTTCAAATAATCATGATTTTTATTGTGTAAATAAATACTGATAACTCTTTCTTCCTCAAACCATTCCCTCGGGGAAAAAAGACATCCGGAAGTAACTCGACTAGCATCACACACGTACAGTAACTAACTGCCAGCAGTATGTTAACAGCCCCTCTTTCTAGATTTGCTTATATAAGTCAGATAATGAAGGGCTCGATTCTCTGGCATGGGCAGTAAACGTTTCATTGAGACAAATGAAAAAAACCATAGAAAGATTGGCTGATAAGCCTCGGTAAAAATTCCAAATCTTCCATTCTCGAGCTATGAGGAGAATTATTTCGCTGTACCATGCCCGCTAACGGTAATTTTTTTTTTGATATTTCATATTTTTGTTAGAAAACCCTCAAAAAGCGTCTCAGCCGGCCCAGTCTGTTCAAAAACTAGCAATTTCACTGTACATATTTATACAAAAGCAACACCACCAGTCAAGATTCGTAACATTCATTCCTTGCCAATCTCATCGTCCTGTTTCTCCAAATCAGTTTCCGGCTTCTTCTCAACATTCGCCGCTTCTGACAAGTCATTTTTGCCATGCAATATGTTGCGCAGCTCCTTGTAAGAATCTTTTTTTTTGCCCTTAAAAAGTCTGGTTGTGTCACGGCAATTTGCCATTAAAGCACAGTTGCCATTTTAAATCCGATTGCAGACTTTCAAAACAATAGTGCAGGCAGTCGGCAATATTTGTTCTTTTCAAGAAGCTCGGCCAAAAATAACACAATTGACTCGCTTTCGACACTTATATAATTCTAATTATTGGGACCAAAAAAAAATTTTTATTCTAGTAATTACACCCCCTCCCCCCACCTCCGTACATCAGAGCCCTGTAAAATTTCGGCTTTTTATCATATCTGGCTCATGAAATTGTTTCCCCGTCAAAAAAACCACATTTTT